TAAAAAAAGTTAACTTTTTTCAAAAGGTAAAGAATAATTATCAACTTTTTAAAAAAAAAACCTTGATGATGCATTGTTTAAGCAACAAACAATTGTATCATGTAACTCTATTTGTTAAGAGTAGATCAGTATATTGAGTCCAAAAGAAAAAAAGTTCTCTCCATCGACTGGGAAAAACCTTTTAGTTAAACCACTGTATTTGAGACCAAACCCAATAAGAATTACAAAACAAAAATACACTGTTTATTTCACTTTAAATGATGTTCAAAGAGATTTTATAAGACAGAAAAAAACTCTCTTACGTAGAGCCTGGAGAATAGGACCTGAACATACAGTGCTGGACTAAATATGCTCTTTCTTCATGTACTTCAACTTTAGTATATTAGTGAATGGAGTAATGCAAATAAACACATGAAACAAACAGTTAAAAAACTAGAAAGCCAAGCAGGAAGAAGACAAGTACTGACAGAAATGTAATAATAGCATTGTTTTGACCTCTCGCGATGGGTGACTTCTTAAATGCTGTCGTTTAAATGGAGTGAACTGTTTTACACACAGAAAATGATGTAAAAAAATATGAAGGGGCAAAAATGCAGCATTTTGTTTATTACGTTTAAAATCTTAACATTTAGGAAAACCATTGTTTTGCCGCAGAAGTGCTCTAGTTCAAACATAAAGAAGCATGTGACTACTGACACACTTTATTAGCCAGGAGACGTAAAAACGACATCTTATGTATGTATGGACCTGCTGCACAGAGTGGATTCTACAGACTGTGCAAAACGCAGCACTGCTAATCGCTGCATATTATGCGTTTAAATGTAGTTCAAGAATCTCATTTAGAGGACTGTCTTCTCATATCAACAGTATTGTTCACTGACCACGAGAAGAAGCATCTGTTTGTCTTTAATGCTAAGTGTGCGCTAGCTAGCAGAAGCGTCATTTGCTATTCTGAGGCAGACAACAAAAAATAAGTTATTGAAAGTATAATTTTATCCTCCCGAACACCATATTCTCGGGTTTTTGTGCGTAAGTCTGGCTGAGGTAGGACTCTTACAATACTCTGACTGGAAATCAGCAGACTATTGCAACCTGTCTGACATCTCAGCATAACTGCTGCTAGCAGCAACATAAGCTAACATGCTACCTACCAGCCTTCTTTGACCAGAGATTCTGTCAGATCGGTCATTTTTGTCCAAATTGGAGATGTCTAATGAAGACAATGGTAGCTTTAATGAGTGACCAAGTAACAAACAATTATCTGGTACTGTGATACATAATATTTTCTTTCAAACAAAGCTCGTTAATGTGAGCACTAAATGACCCAGTCGTAAATACGTCACCGAATGAGACGCGTTGTGAGAGTACGGAGTGCCGAGAGGATCAAAAAAGAGATTTCTCTTTTTCTTTGCTTTAAAAGAAAAGGAAAAGCGTTTCATTTTTAGAAATGCAACTGTTTATAAGTAAGTTCTTCTTTTATGGATATTATGAATAATAAATAAGAACATTGATGGAGTTGCATTACAAAAAACTGTTTATTCCCAAAAACATCCACTGTTTTGGAAACGGTATTGACTTGCTACATTAACAATGTTTTCTTATGCTGTATTTATACAGCATTATTTGTCTTTGTATATATCTAGAAGTCTTGATATTGATTTATACTCGCTGTCCTGTTGCTGCTTCTAGACCTGAATTTTACCAAGTCGTTTCTACTTTCTATTCTATTCTATTCTATTCTATTCTATTCTATTCTATTCTATAGAATTTTATAGGATAGAATTGTATTCTATTCTATTTACAATACAAAATGGTTATGATCATTTTAGACATAACATAATATAACAACTGACCTTTCTTTTCACCTGTTATCATGATCTGCAATTAAATTGTAATCTTTACAGACTTGTGTAAACCTAGGATGGCTGTGGAGTCATAACCATTTCATATTTTCAAAGAAACATTTTGCTTTATTAAAGTCATTGTAACTTTTATTATTATTGCATGTCTTGTTTTGAGTAAGACAAGTAATATTGAGTATTAATATCTTCTTTCACTGAAACCTGTCAGGTATTAAAGACAAAACATTGTAATAGATGAATGTTATGTAAACACATCTGGTTGTTAATGCAAATGGTTTCTGATTTTTTATATTCTCAATTGGAAAATCAGAATGGCAGCATCTTAAGATAAGAATCACAGCAAAATAGAGCAAAGATGCAAAATATGTAAAGGAAAAGTCAAACTAATGTTTCAATATAAACAAAGAAAAGAAGAAAGAATGAAAATATAAACATTTACTGAATAGAAATGTCTCCAAAAGGCATTGGTAAACAATGCCGAATCCCTGGATTTCAGAGTTCTGCCAGGTCACTGCATTTGTTCACCACTGGCAAAATTAAATCAATACCCTTTGGGATGAAGAAATGACCATTATGCTTAGCTTCAGGTAGTCTAACATTTTTAACTATAATGTTAAGCTACAATCATGTCATCTTTTGAAGAAAGTTTTTTTTTCTAATTTATCTATATGATATGGCTGTACTTCTGTTTTGGGAAGGAAAACCTCAAAAGAAAAAACTGTCTGAAATCCAGATTCAGAGAGGATTTTGAATCAGGCATAATGAAAACACGTGGAACTTAATCCAAAACATCAATCTGTATATTTTCAAAAGGCACTATTAAACTAACAAACACGATTCATCAGAATGCATGCTCAAATTATTGAAGGTAACCACTTTCAAGCAGGAATCATACATTTTTAAAATTACTCCCCATTTTTGCATAAAGAAATTAAATGTCAAAGATTTTCATTAGCTGTGAGAAGAGTAAGGAGTATGCTGAACTTGTGTCATGGTTTAATCCAGCTGCAAATGAAAATGAGAAAACATGCTCTGGTCATGTGATGTACAGCTAAAAACAGAGGATGGCAGTATATGCACACTAAATGGAAACTTGTTTTCCATTCTGAATCACTGCGATAACGTTTGATCTCAATGGCAATAAAGCTTATGGCGAGCATATAATTTCTTTTGTTTTGTCTTTATCCTTAATTTTGGAAGATTGTTTTTAAAACTTGAAGAAAAATTACAATTTCACACAAACCAAAGAGTATTTACCATTGTTTCATAGCATTCTCCAAAATCAACTTGAGACTTTTTAAAATGTTTTCCATTATGACAAAGCGTCTTACATTGTGGGGGTAGGAGGGTGTAGTTTGTTTTTTGGCTTTTTGAAAATAGTAAACATACTTAAAATATATTTAAATCATGTTGACCACAATATAAAAAAAAATATATAATAAAATAATGCCCACCCCATTTCTAAAAAATAGAAAAAGCAAATTAAGAGATTGATTTTGAATCTATTTGGAATGTTTTCTCAAATAGCCTTAATCAATGTCATTACCATGCCAGAAACTTTGAAATTCAGATTCTTTGACTCTTAAAGTGTTTGTGTATATCACCCTGTAGCAACCAATTAGAATGGCTCGATGAGTGTCCAAGAAAATTAAGGCTCACGTTTGTCCAGACGAAGAGTGTTAACGTATTGCTGGAAGTCCTTTGGATGGCCTTCATGTTATTTAAAATCTTTGAAGATAACAAGGCTTTGAGAAGCTTAATCCAAGGAGCATCAAATCTGATGTGATGGCTGCAGGTTTTATTTATTTGAATTAGACTTAGAGCTGATCCTTGTACAAAAGGGTGCCATTAATATTTAGAATTCATATTCTAAATTCATTTTCTAAAAATCTTGCTGATGCTTTGACAAATACCTTTCATTTATTCTTGAAAGATAATTTGTTTGAGCTTTTTCCATTTTTGCAGCATGAAAAAGCTAATGGGAGCATGAGTAATCAGAGTCATTAAGACTTATATTTAAAATACAAAAGCAAATTTCATAAATAAACACACAGTTTGAAGCCATTGTATTTTATGTTGTGATTTGGACTTATTTTTTATGTTTTTCTTAATTTATGTTTTCATTATTAGATAAACTATTACCAGTACAAGAAGATGTCCCTGTTCCCTAAAATACCTTTATTGCTCACAACAAATTGCTATTGTGTTTAAAGGTTTTAGTTTTAACTTAGAAAAAATGGGCATGAAAATATAAAATAAGAACACAAAGTAAAATATGGTCTGGAAAGGAGAGTGTTATGATAGAAAAATAAATGACAGTATTCCACAAAGACAAATAATTTCACATATGTAATACACTAAAAAACAGGACACTGCAGAGGTCAGTGAGGGGAGTTGAGAATGTCATTGGAACATTTCGACCTTTCGGCATCTGTTTCAGAGCCATCGCGTGGATAGGGCGCTGAAGACTGTCAAAGCTTTTCTATGAACTTTTGAACCAAATGATAATGACAAGTCAAAAGCCTAACCATGAAACTGTTACACAGCCCTCTTCTTTAAGCTGCGGAAGTTGCAAAAGTTTTTTTTGTGCATTTTCATCTTGCTTTCTAATATGTATCTTTCCAACAATTGTTCACAATAATCTGTTGCACATTGGTAATTTTGCTGTCATTTCAATCCGTACAAAAGTGAATGACAAAAATTGATTTGATTTATTATACCTGAAAAGGAACACAGATGAAAATGAGCTTCCACATCTAAAAAGCATGATGAAAAAAGACATGTACTCTCTTTTTAATGAATAAACTGGAAACAATCAACAATCCAAGAATGATATAACTTGTTTTAGAAAACAAATTCTTATTTAATTTAACTTTCAAATAAATTAAGAGAAACACAACATGCATCAGGTTAAACCAAGCGCCTCCTCTGGAGACAGAGTCACTGCCCTAAAGTTACTACAGAAACAGTGACAGTTCGCCGCGGCCAATGAAATCCATTTTTTAACTCTAAAACTTTTCAGCTACACCAATCAGAAGCTGCAAGTGCAAAATCTCTTATTCTATTGGTTAGGTTGAACATACGGAACTGACGTTTTATAGCGCGGGTCTGTCAAAAAACTATCAGCCGCTAATCTGTAATATTTTCCAGGAAGCGCCTGAAACATCGCTTGTAAAGACTCTGTACTTTCTTATTAAGGGGCAAACGTAAAGGATCTGCAACACACTGTTAAGTCTTTTGCAACTGTTTCTTGGTATTGTAATCTTAAGCGTTACGTGACAGTTCTTAAATTGGATTAGCCCACAGTTAAGCCAGTGTAAAATAATGGATGTAGCCTACTTCTTCCTTAGCTAGGCTGATAGCTGGAACTTGGTGCTACTACGTTAACCTTTGGACTTCTCTGTTTTACTAACTTAATGGTAGAAATATGCCTCATCTGCTTAATAACTCATAATTGGCGAGAAGCACCTCTGTGATTCCTGTCGTTACAGACATTCAGTAACTTTCCACAGTTCTCCAGTCAGTTCAAGGAGACGAAATCTAGTTAACATGGAAAGCCACAGCCAAAGGTTTGAGTCCAGCACAGGGCGAGACAGTAAACATCAAAAGAAGAAAGCTTCTCACAACAGCACGTCCGGGTTTGATGACGGAGACCGCAAACCAAAGTTTGTAAGTATAAAATGAATAAATAGAAGGGTTCAATTTGTTCTAGTTCTAGTTGGACATAAAGTAAACATGTGATGGACAAACTGAGATCCTTTCTCAATATAACGTCAGACTTGTTTTGTTAGTGACAGGAAAAAACAAAATCAGCGGCAAAAAACAAAAACAAAGGGTGTTAATATCATCTATTATGTGTGTTTTGACTTTGTTTTAAATGTTTGTAAAGAAGATATTTTTTAAATTTAGTTTAATGTTTTTTTTTGTTAACGTAAACATTTTGTTTTAAAATGAAGACAAAACCAGATACACAAAAACAACAGGTCAGGAAGAGGACTCCTGCAAGAAATGTTCTCTTTTGATAGACCTTTCCTGGTTCACACTTGTGAATTATCACATTTAAGATGGCAAAATTTTGTATTTGCTTGAATTGTCCATTTTAAATGTGACCTTGGTTGTTTTTTGACTTTGTTGTTGCATGTCAGGACTCAAAAGTTAAAATTAGCACAGGGGTTTAGCCAACCCTAATCTATGTGTTTCCTGCTACTACAAACCAATCAGGGCTCTGTCTGCTTCCATTCACTAGGGAGATGTTAGTGTCTATTGCTGGCAGGCGGTGGGGGGCTTGTTTATTGTTGCACACACTTGACGGCCTTGTAGACAAGAAAGTTGTTTATCACACAAATTTTGTTAATTTCTTTTTGACCCCAGTGTTTTGAGTGTAAGTCAATGTCATGGCCATATTCAGAGTCTAGTCCAGTCCAGTCTAGTCAGCTAAAGGAAACAAACTGACCCTCTGTGATTGGGGTTTCCTGGGGATCTAAGAGGGGTTGTGAAGTCAGGTTGGAAGACTGACCTTGACTATAATTACATATTGTAGAAAGAATGCGATTCATTCAGTTTTTTGATGGTGGTTTATTCTATTCTATTTATACTACTCTACTCTATTTCCTTCACTGAAACTGTCTGACATTTATCTATGGAAATGGTTTCAATAAAGAATGTTGGAAATGGATAGCAATAGCGAGAAATAAAACATTACATAAGCTTGATAAAATCTTCCCAGGATCAATTTTTGTGCATCAAATTATGCTAAAACTTATAATAAAACAGCTAAAGCTACTTGGTCAAGAGTTTATGTTCCAAGAACATAATAAAATAAATTGAACACTGTTGGAAACGTAGTCAGTAGGATGCTCTGAAAAGATTGTGTCTCATTTTTATTAAAGTACAACTTATATTGAACTGAGCTTTGAATTCAGAATAGGTGATATGTAACTTGTATTGCAATATATTGGAATTTATTGTATTAACAAAAAGAACTACAAAAAAACACATTTAGAAATTCATCAAAGTTCTGTTCAATTTGTTTCTGAATCAGACAATAGGACAAAAAAATTAATAAAATGTATGTATTAGTACTAAATAATGCCACATACATTTAGTTATTGCACAATCATAACTTTTTTCAAGCAAAAACTGAATTTATTGATGACCTCTTGGCACAGTCAGTAGAAAAATAGTTCAGTGTTTCAGAAAGAAAATCCCTCTCCTGTTTCCAGTATTTGTTGTTTGCAAGCATCAATAATTTGATTTTGTTGTCATCACAGGATAACAGTATTTTTCGGACTATAAGTCTCTCCTCTACTTTTTTCCCACACTTTGAACCATGCGGCTTATAGCCCGGTGCGGCACTTCTGTGGATTTTTCTTCAACCCGGGGGCTCTTTAGCAGAAAATGAATCATTGGAAGTTAAAGTTGGAAATCAAAGAAGAAAGCGCTAATTTTCATTTAGAACAAGCACACGCTATCAGCAGGCATGTCGGAGAAATTTCTTCAAACTCATACCCCCTCATCATAGAAACAATACAATGAAAAAGATGATGCTTTTAGGTTGAAAGCTATTGATCTGGCCGTACAGGAGGGAAATAGAGCAGCTACACGTAAACTTGACGTGAACGAGTCCATGGTTCAGGGTTGGAGATGCAAGGTTGCGTCCGTAATAAATCCAGCAGATTTATTAAGGACACAGCCTGCTGCTGCGTCCTTGTGGAAAAAAAAAAAGATTTTTTGAAATTTGCCCTTTCATTTTTAAATAAAATGGCTAGACAGATGCTAGGAAGAGATGTCACAGTAATTTGAGCAGGTTTCAGCCTTATCAGTGGATTAGTAATTTTACACCAAATCTACATAACTTTAACTTAGTCTAAATCATTTTAGACTCCTTTAAAGCACTTTCAGTACTCACAAAGCATATAATAGAGTCCAAATATGAATATTTATGCTCTTTTCCTATTTTATTCTTGAGCCTAACTAAAATGTTTAGATAATTTTGATTACATTTCACTGAAAATATTTTACAATTTTTTATTTTATTAGAATAGGTTTTCAGAGCACATTGAGGTTCGTAAGATGTGTGCAGAATAGCATAAAATGCAACACATAAAGCAGTACCATATAAAGCACTTTATAAATAATCAAGAATTGCTCTTAAGAGTGTACAGCAAAAAACTGACAAGCCTAAATGCAATAAAGAGTTATGCCATACAAACAGTGAAACACTGAGAATGAAATTACTGGCAACATAAAACGTAAAGTAACATTTACTAGGGCAGGAAAACACATTTACTTGACTGGCACTAAAGAAGCTGATGAACATATATTAAACAGAAAAGATCAAAATCTTTTCCACTGTATAAATAAACCTCCACAGTTTTTCAACCAAACTTTTTGGTTTTTTTTAGTCATGAGATTCTGCTGATTTTCAACAAAGGCAAATAAATGGGAGCCACAGAATATATTGTTTTGTGAAGAAACTTTGGCTTACACCAATTGTACTTTCAAATAATACTGACTGTCAGGGAATATGGCGTGATTTATAGGGGTGCGTTGATTGATCAACTCCAAATTTCTTAATTTTGGGTGATTAGGAATAGTTCGATACTTGCATGTGAAACCGATCTTATCCGCTGACATTACCGAAAGATCTTATTTAACTCTGCAAAGGTCTGAAAATAAGCTGTTCCCTTTTGCTCTGGTGTGTGAGAAGGCTGCCTGACAAACCTGCCCATCAAGCTTATTGTTCAATATTTTTTAAGAAAATAAGATTGGAATATTGAATGTGTATTGTGACCTTGTATTATAATACCTGACTGTCAGTAATAAAATCTTCGTCGGTCAAAAATTGGAATGAGCAGGTCGGGATTTTTAATCAATCGCTCAATCAATCTTTATGTATGGAAGACTATTGCACACAATAAAGCAACCAAAGTGCTTCACAGGTTAAATAGTGAGATAAAATACATTTTAATACCTGTAATTGGCCAGAAGCTGAATTTGAAGCACCTCTGGTAGTTTTTCCATCTGTCACCCATTTTGTCTCCACGACACCTATTGTGATTTATTTGGCATAGGCTCAGTGCTCAGGCCAGAATTAAAGTCCTTAAGACCTTGCAACAGTCAGGTTGTTTATGACAACAAACTTTTCAGTCTTCACTTTTAAAAGTTTTATTTATGTTATTTGTCAGTCTCCAGGTGTGGATTAGCATTTATCATTTTCCACTAGCAATACCAAACTAGTTGATCGTCAATTTGTCTTATCTGCTTTATATGTCTTGCGGCTTCGCTCTTCTGTGCCACACAGTCGCTTATGTAACAACACATTTCAAGGATTCATTTTCATTTTCATTACAAAATGGAGTGAACACATATTCTGGGATTAGTCTCTGGTTTTATTATTTATTAAATGTCAGATAAAGGCTGCCAAGTGGCATAAAAATCACAAGCTGAAGAGAGATTCTTATCCCTAATTTGAGACTTTGCAACATTTTTCTGAGCTATTGTGAGTTGCATTGTGTCCTGCTGTTTAGAAATGCGGCCTTCTAAACAGAAGGACATGGTTGGGAATATTTGCCTTCCAGAGGATGAAGTTGATTTGTGTCCTGAATTCTTTCTTTGTTTTACTCCCCATTATAGAACTTGGCCTTTAAAAACCTCACAGACGATGTGGTAAGATATGAGAAACTAGTGCATATTCTGTTATCAGACTGTGAACTATTTAACATAATACTTTTTAAGACTAACTAATCCATTGATGTGAAGTGGAATTTAGTTTTTATAGTGATAATTTAGATTTACTGACAACTGGGTAGAGACTGCTGCTTTTCTCACTAACAAATAATTTCCTTGTCAACTTTTCATTAAGGAGTAGAAAATGCTTTGCACTGTGTTTGGCAAGCAGAGTCGGCTTGTTTTCATACAATTTATGCATGAATTAGTGCTATTGGCCTATTGTTCAAATTTTGTCTTTTCTATGTGATAATTTCTTAGATGTGTTTATAATCTCTCATGTTTTGTTTACCTTGTCTTTGCATTAATATATTTTTTTCACACTTTAGCACTGAGGTGAGCTGAAGCCCATTCCAACTGGATCCAAAACATTCTTGTACTTGTTCTCTTTCTTTTCCGCAGCTGGACAGATTTGCAAGTATTCGAATTCCTGGCAGCAAAAAGGAACGTCCACCCTTAACGCTACCGAAACATAACTCCAATGACTGGTCCACTGCTTCAGCATCAACCCTCCATCATTTTGAGGAGTTCTCTTCAAAGATCACCTCGGAAAAAGAGATCTTGGCTCTGTTTGAAAAGATGATGGTATGTCTTGTCATTATGCTAACTTGCCTTAATTATCTTTTTTAATTTAAAGCATTTTGAGATACACTTAATATAATTTAAGCAAAGCCAGTTGCAAAGTTATAAGGATATCAAAACATATTTTAAATGATTGCTCTATCTGAAATGTAGTTATGGTGAAATCTTCATTTTCAGAAAGAAAAAAACAAAACATCTACAAGTTTTAAAACTCTATAGATCTTTATATTGTAAAGAAATAGACAACTTAGCTTGGTTTTCTCCTGCCACATATGACATATCTGTACAATTGTTTTTTCCTTTAATTCTGTGAGCCCTGCTGACTCAGATACAATCAGATGAGTCACTCGCTAAAACAAAGTACAGTATGTGAATTAAAAAATGTGAACATTTTGATTATTTTAATTGGTTAATGCTTGAATCAAAGTCTAGGCTGTGTCCACTGTGTTCTTTTTCTTTTTTTTTTGTTATGTTTTTGCTCTTTTGACCACTTTGGTGCAAGGACTGCTGATTTAATGGGTTTCATCTGCACTGCCGAGTCTCTTCAAAAAAGCAACTTAATTAAAAAACAGTAAATGAGATACAAGGATAAAAAAAGAAATAAAGTTGAAACCATTTTCCTTTCAGTGCACAGAATGTACATACTTTGTATTGTACAATCCTGAAAATAGTTTCTAATAAAAATGTATGTTAAAGGTCATCATGAGTTATCTACCTTGCATTACAATAACTTTTCAAAATATGAAAATAAATTTACCAAAATAATGCACATGCAATTAAGTGTAATTAAAAGTAACTTTAGAATCTACATCGTCTCTTCCGGTTAGTCAAGACGTTGTCAATTAGAGAAGCTGGGTGAAGCAGGAAAATGATGTGAAACCCAATTAGAGCTTATGATTAATTTATTCAATAATATCAGTAATTGGCAGGAAGGATTGTTTAGACCATGTTATTTACTCTAATTAGGACCAAGCATTGCCATTAAGAGTCAAACTGGTAAGCACCCATTCAAACACCTGCAATGGCTGACATCATCCCAACTTGCTTCAGATCACAAAGCATCTATTTATTCATAGGAAAAAAGTGCCCTGGCAGCTCAGAGAAATTATATATTTCTAAACAAACTATGTGCATATCACCAAAAGGAAACTTGATGCGACTATTTCTATTTGCCTAACTCCATATCTTCTTTTCAACTGACAAACTGTTGTGTTAAAAACAGCTCCTCATATACATAATGTCACAACTTATGGTTTATGTGGTTTTATCAACAAAATTGTCATTTTGTTTATGGTGGTTTGTATTTGTCTTTGAACAAACATCTCTCACCTTTTTTTCAGGAGGACATGAACTTGAATGAGGACAAAAAGACTCCTTTGAGGGAAAAAGACCTCAATACAAAGCGAGAAATGGTCCTCCAGTATATTTTTGCAGCCTCCAAAGCAGTGAGTTTTTTGGCTTAGAAGTTTACTACCAAATGTATTTTTTTCCATCTAGTTTGTCATGTCATTTTTTTCTTAAATGTTTGAGGTATACAATTCAATTAGTAAGAAATCTGAAATGGATTTTCTTTATTTGTTTGTGAACAATAATTGTCAGGTCATCTCCCAAAAACATATTCCCCTGAGGAAGTGGAGCAAAACTACCAACTTCCCCCTGCTGGGATATGCCCTTTGAGGACATATTCTTTAATGCCTAAACAGGGACAATCTTGTAATTCATTCATTTTCACTTGAATTTAAAACTGCTTCCTCTATCAGTGAAACTGATGAGTGTTTTTCTTCTATGTTGTATCGCTTGGTAAAAAAAAATATTGAAGTTGATAAAAAATTGACAGGTTCTGTTCAGACTTCAAAGAAAATCAGAAATTGGTGATCGCTGTATGGTGTAATTTTTGTAGCAGTTGGAACAGGATAATTACTGGTCAGAAAAAGTGTATTATGTGATGTCACTTTGTGGGTGCAAAGTAATAGTTTTGATGATCTTTAATCTTATGATTGTGCACCTCATCTTCAATGCTACTCATTCAAATGCATCATGGCCTGCATGCTGACTCCAGTAACGATGTACATGCCAGGTTTAATGTTTGGCTAATTAGTAATGTTGTGAACATTTGTACATGCGATGAGACCTTTTCACCATTTTAGAGGACTACCTTATGAACATAAATCAAGCTCTAGATTATTTTTCATGAATTCAGTGAATTCATTCTATTTTTTTCAAGCTTTTATATATGATTTCTTAAAATGCATTCATTTAAGTTTCATTCTGCAAAGCAACAAAGGAAAAAAAGTTAAATAACCTTTCACAAGGCACTGTTGTATGAATATGGTAGATGGCTCTCTTGAGAAACACTTTCCACGTGAGCTGTTGCTCAAAATAATTGTTGACCTTGGACTGTGTGTATTGCAGTAGTTGACTTGAAATAACCACTATACCTCTCAACGACCCCTAGTCTGATTTTTTTTTTTTTTTTCTGGAATGCCCTTGCTGTGCAGGAAATTATGTTTTACTCAGTTTTTGTCTTTGAAACACCACAAATCTTCAAGATCCCTTTAGTTTTGTCTCTCAGAGATTTTTGAAATTCAAGTCAGACTTTGGTGTTCTTATTTTTAAATTGTTAGGAAAAAGAATGCACGCACATTTTCATAACTTTACTGATTCATGCAAAAAAAAAAAAAAGTAATTACTCTGTAGATTAAACTTCATGGGGTGTTTATTTGGAGACCATCAGACCAACCCTTGCTTCATGTTGTGCTTCAGGGAAGTGAAAGCTGGAGTACAAAATATTTTCCTGAAACACAGAAAAATCTTTTGGAAAAGGTAGCAGTGCTTTTCAAAGTAGTAATGCTGCTACTTTGAAATGCATACATCTTATTTTCCATCCCAGTAAAATCATCTTAACTGGCATAATTTAGTGTAGATTGTAGGATGTATTCTTATTTACCCTCCAAGAATCCGCCCAATATTGGTTTAAAAAGAAACCAGTATGAAGACAAACATTGATTTTGATTATACCATATTTAAAATATCTCACTTCACTAATTTTGTTTTATGTTGCAGTATACTAACTGGTTTAAGGTTAGTCTTCATGATCTTATTATGATTAATGTGATTAATACCATTAATTAATATTTCAGGAATGCTGTACTACCATTTAATACGATGCAAGTAACAATTTTGTCTGTTGCAAAATGTTTACCCTTCTTTAAGGGCATAAAAATAGATACAAAAAAATGAAACTTGTCAATATTTTTATTCTGTTTAAGTAAACAAACTTTCAGTTCACGAGGGAACATGCATGCAACTTCGCAAAAAAATACGTGCCTAAAAGATTTTTCACCTCTTGAAGAGGTAATGAAGGGAAATAGATATTTAGCACATTGCCTTACCACTAAAACTTCTGCATATCCGTCAAAGAGAGTTTTCATCTACCTTGCAAATGTAGGTCAACACAATCTGTTACATAGTCTTTACTATGCAAAGACTGTGTGCATTTCTCTTTTCAGGCGTATTTGGAATTATGCCAGATGTTTTATTTTATAAACTTGAAAATATGTTTATCTTTATATGAAGGAAAGGTAAAAAATCTAGTTACTGAACATTTATTTTGTATGAAAAAAAATCAATCATAACAGCAAAAAAACAAACAAAAAGAACAAATGAAATGCTACAAGGTTTATTTTATGGTCAATGTCAGAAGATCTCTGAACAATGATGTTATTGTAAGGGGATCATGAAGAAAGCCCATAGTCTCCAGTGGAGGAAAAAAATCCACATTGTGGCACATGTGAAATTTTCAAGTCTTCCTGCTTGCTGTTTTTAAAAAGTTAATTCAAAGAGCCTTGAAATATCACTGACACACTCACTTGAAGCTCTGGTGGAATTTCTACTTGAGGCCAATGAAAACATGGTCTTCGATAGTCTTATGTTTTTAAAGCATTTTTGGATATATATTGTCAATTGCTTTGTTTTTTTTATTTTTTTTTATGAAAACTAAATGTATACTTACAATTTAAAGTACTTATTTGTGCACTATTAAGTGTGAGTGCATGTTATGAGCACAAGTTCATCCTAAAGACCTTTTGTCTTGGGGTTTAGTTTGGGTGGTTAAAGTAGATGTGTTGATCCATTGTTCTTTCTGTCAACTGGGCCCCGAGCATTCTCCACACAGGCAAAACACACTGAGAAATTTATTATTTGCAGTGGAAGTTACCCTGCGCTCCCACAGCAGGGCAGGTCAGAGGACGCTCCTGTGAAGGGATGCCAAGCAGATATCCTTTAAAGTGAACCAAATGATATTTTGGGAACTTTTGAAGTTGCTTCCTTATTTCAAAATTAAAACAAGTTCTTGTTTCTTGATATAGATTCTTTTGTCTCTTCTTTTTGCTTTCTTCAAAGGCATGTTTTGACATTTAAAAAAGTCAAACTTGAATGATTTATGGTTGTTTTAGAGGGGGGGAAAGCTTATACAGAACCATATAATCATAAGAAGTGTTGTCTGTTGATCAAAGTCTTGTTTAAGCTTTTATTTTCTCTGATGATTGCAAAATCATTATAAAAGTGCTCAGTAAAGATATAAATGCCAATCCATTTATATCTTTGCTGAGCACTTTTATTGCTACTCTTGTATAGAAAATTAAAAATAAATATTTAAATAAAGGAATGGAAATCACATAAGTAGAGTAGAAATGCAGCTTTCTGAAGTTTTACATACACAATATCTTTTATCACCAATCTTGTTTGATCAATGTTGATAAATGCATTATGCCTTATCCACATCCGGCTCTAGAGGAATATTCCTAGGGGCTGCTATGGCTTATTTATTTTTATTGTTTTTTAGATGGGAGGCAGTAAACTGGCTTTTCATTTAGCAAAAATATATTGGCAAAACTTTGTGTAACCTTTCAAATGAAATACAAAATAAACACTAGGCTAATTACCTAAACAGTAATATCTCCATGAACCAACCAGAAAATCCTAATCATACTCAGATTAACATAAACATTAGCTCATAATGTTGCAGATATGTGGAACATGTCCCACTCGTGTTTGCCCGTCTGTTCCATGTGCCATATGTTTTGTGCATACTGCCGTTGCCATTGGGTGGTAAAGGATCTCACTCTAATATCATGGGTTGAACTGTGGTGCCAAATTCTTACCCACCAGGCCTGCCCACTGGCTGGCCATACCCATACAAGGACCAATTAATGTTGGTTTTATTATGTTTCACTCAAAATTTAAGTAGATGTATAAGGGATTTTTTTTCCTTTTTCTTTCTTCAATTTTTCAGGGAAGCCTGAAGAAAAGCCATCAGATATCTCCACAGGAATTCCTCAGTGAGCTGAAGTCAGGAGTGATGGACGAACGTCTGTTTGCCTGTCTGGACTCATTGCGAGTGTCCCTGACAAGCAACCCTGTGAGGTACAGATAAGATATTAGGGTCTAATAATGGTTACTAAAGTCCCCTCTTGAGTTTAGTCGCTATGCATGTTGCCTGTTTTGTAGTTATATATTTTAAAATGTGCTTTAATTTAGATTTTGCCTTTATATTTTAGTACTTTGTTGAAATTTATTCAAATGTTTAAATTGGAACTCTTTGAACTGCTTTAAGGTCTTTCAGTTCAAACAGATCTTAATGAACTTGAATAAGGGACCTGAACTGTTAGTGGGAGAGTTGGTCACTATGCTTTTTGCTGTAATCGACGTTTGTGGATCTTTCCTCTTTCCTTTCTAGCATTTCACATTAACTTTTGCAATCTTAATTATGACATGCATAGATGAACTGTATTACTTAAAAACTTAGTTTAATGTATATGAGCTGTTTTTTTTCTCTCTTTGTTAAAGTGACTATAATAAAAGGGCCTGCTTTCTAATGCAGCATATTAGGCATTAAGAGGTCCTATTCTTTGACACAAAATGTCTAATTTTCCTTCATCAAAAGTGAAGTAGCATTTAAAAGAGCTGGCTGCTTGTGTAAGTGAAAGTAAAGTGACTTTCACATATTTAGTTTGGCAATCCTGAGTGTGCACATGAATGATTAAGGTAAACTTAATAAACAGTTTAGTTTAACGGGTTCAAAATCTATTCAGTGTTAAAAAGATCAGATTACATAATAAAATTGCTCCAATTTCTGAAATGTTTCCAACAATGTTGTTTTTTAGTTTGCAGGTAAACCTTCAAATTGTTTCTAATTTGATCCTATGGTCTCAGCAAACTGAAACATTTAGGCCCAAATTAGTTTAGACACCTGGGAGATTACGAAATGTAAAACCTTTACAATACAATCCTTCTTAGTTTTTGTTTACATTTTAACAAAATGTCCAAAGTATTTTACACTATTTTCAATAATTACAGTGAAGAGTCTTTAATGGCATTTCAGCAAATAAACACTTATGATTAGTGACAGGCTTGTTGCTTGTTTCCAGTAACTTTTCAACAATTTATCTTTTGAAATGAGCTCCAAGTCCTTGAGGCTGAGCTCGCAATCACTTCAGTGTTTGGGTCCCTCCACAGATTTTGTGCTGGATACAAGTTGGCCCGCTGACTGGGCCAATTCAAAACATTAATATTACTTCCTTTCAGGAGAAACATGTTGGTAAAATTACAAGATTACTTTAAATCTATATCTGAAATTGTCATGAATAATAATGGGATTTCTACTTAATATGAGCATGCTGCTTAACTCAAACAATATTCTTCAGTAAAACCAACATATAAAAATACCAAGCTGTAATTGTGTCACATAAAACTAACACAGCAACATGCTGTTAGGTTTTTTTTTTTTTTTGAAGTTATTTTTAAGCCTTTCCAGTCTTTGTTTAGAGTCTTTCAGTTTAGTGGATAGATATTTCTAAATGTCTTCTTTCTTTTTTATGTTGCAGTAGTTTCAGTAAAAGTGACTGTCAGGAGAAATGTGGCCGGTAAGCTCTGGTGTTTGATGAAGGGTCCACTGATCAGACTGTCAGACTCAAGCCTAATGACAAAAGTATGGACTAGATCATAAATCTGGCTTGGCTAGAAACGGCATCAACCTCTCGCCTTCTAATAGCGCCATTAAAGTCCTGAGTTGCTGGATTGATTTGGAAGTAAAACCTTTTTTCTGCTGCAGTTTTTGGATACTGATCAGTGTCACTTTCTTGGCAATGATGCAAACAGCTCCCGAGCATTTCCTCAGTGCAGTGTGTGTAGCCTGCAAGAGGAGGCAAGAGGAAATATTTTCCCATCTGGATCTCTCTGGTAGAACAGACCATCCTAAAGTTAATTTCATAATTCTGGCACTTGTCTGACTCTTTTATGCGTTACCACAGCATCTTCAGTTCTATGTCCCTTTTCATAAAAAGCGGCCAGTGCTTTAACTTATAGGTTCAGCAAGGCCACACAATGTAATTGTATAAAATGGATTTGATAAATGGATCTGACAAAAAAGTGGAAATTGGTTTTTGATACTGTATTATAACTGACCTTCATGTTTAAGGCTCCACAGTCATTTATTTTTAGCTTAGCTTCCACAAAGGTAAACACTCTTGTTTCTTACTTGCATCATACTAAAAAACAAAACCTTGGATGCCGTTTCTGCCTCACACTGCCATGAACTTCAAATAATGAGTCATGCTTCCTATGCGGAAGGTATTTTTCAAGAGAACTTTTCATTTCAACATTTGTTACATATCCTGTGGAAATATTTCATCTTTTGTTTTAGGTTTTTAACATTGCTTTAACTTTAGCCTCCTGCTTTATCTCACTTTTATGCTTGTATAATTATACAAAATGTTCAAATTATGGGACACATTTGAACCCCTGAAGCTGGATATAACAAAAAATTATTGTTCCATTTGTGAAGTTACTGTAAGTGCAACTTTTTCCCTTTGTTTCCAAATTTTCCGAAACAATTATTTTCTTACTGACTCAATAACTGTTCTACTTTTCTTTTCCTACACACTAAATAAGGAAGTGGGACAGCCCACATCCTTGCACTGAACATGCAAAGCATTGTGTTTGGACTAAGAATGAAGGGAAAGACTTTGGACAGAAATTAGATTTTTTGTAATTTGGCAATGAACGACACTGTTCTAAATCAGACCTCTTCAGGAAGGTTTACTTGCAAAATTATTTTGGTGTTAAAGCATCTACAGCAAACCTCAATTTGGAATGAGATAATATAAATTCTGTTTCTCCTCTTTGTCCTGCTAAGTGACTGTGTGAACAACCCAATGTCAGCAATGTATTTTCACAGCACTGTGATGAGCTGTGCTCAATATGGCTCCAGACCGAGGACTTTCAGGGAGAAAATGTAATTGAAGTTTTCTCATTGGGGATGTGGGAGGGCTGCCAGATGCTAGGAACTAATGAAACCCAAGGGCTGGCAGAGTATGTTAGATTAGCAAACTGAATCTAAAATACTTTAGTTGTTTAGACAGGCTGTATGACAAATAAAAAAACATCTAATTGCTCAAGGATTAACAGGCAGGAAGACATCAGACAGATTTAGTTGTGTTTTATCCCTAAATTGGTCACCTGTGAATAATTCTGAAAGTCTCTTTGGCTGCCGTTCGTGTTTGGTCGATGTCCTTAGTTGGAAATAACGAGCAAAACCATATTGGATAGACTGTAATGACTGTTGATGGATTTTTTTCTGAGCTGTCTAACAGATAATCTACTTGCATGGGTTCATATCTGCTGCACTGGCATTTGCCACATTAAATATGTATAAACTATTGTGAACTTTAGTATAATGTACACCAACTCCAGTCTTTTAGGATCATGTTCCTGCAAGTTCTCAATGTATTTGCAACCCCACCCTGCTGATTCAAATGGCTGAAGTATCATCTCAGCATCTGCTTAGAAAAATCCTGTTTGATTTTTAATTTTTGTTTATAACTCCTCTTACACATGGAATAAAATTGCACAGTTTGCAGGTTCTGAAAACCTGCTTTGTCTTGTCCCAGCCCTCTTTGACCTCCTATAGAGAAAGAAGAGACACCCTCCTCTTATAAATGGACTCTGCACAATTGTTCTTGCTACTGAAATCTTTTCTCAGGACATGGCAGAAAGCTATTACATTGCCAGTTTCTGACCTCCAGGATTTTCAAAATGTCTAACGGCTTAAAACTTCAAAAAGCTTTTGAAAGCCGATTTGTCACCTCGATCCCTTCCACTTTCCTCTAATGTGTTTCAAGGCAAATTTAAAATTTATAGCAGCAGATCCTGATGGTGTAGGCTTGTTGGTTTCCGCAGCAATAATTCCTTCCATACATCATCGGATTATTTTCTTTTGCCGTATACCTCACCTACAGATGATGAAAAACTAACATGCAATTGCCCCTGAACTATGCATTTCAATGAAGTTGTTGTCAAGACCCTGTGTACTCTATAACCAGAATGGCCTGGACCATGACACGTTCAAGAGTGAAAGCTGAATTGATTTTTTTTTTTTTCTTCTTTAACATGAAAGTCCCATTCCTCAGATTCCTTGGCAGCAGGTTTCACAATCTTCATCAAGGCTGTGACAGGTTTTGTCTACCTCTTCCCTCCTTTTTAGTTCTGACCCTGTAACACATTCATTCTCACTCTCACTCAAAAAATATATCAAAGTTGCTCAAATCTCAAATTCTCTTTATCTTGTTTTTCTAAAAAAGGAATACAATTTACTTTATTCAGAACAATTTACCTTATTCAGAACTCTGACTCATAAGTTGCCTCAAATTCTTAAAGGACGATTAAAGAATTTATATACAATTTATGTCTTTAGCACACCTAAGCTACTTGATAAAGTTTACCACTGGAATCCTGTTGTTGCAACAAATATTTTTAAACAATAGTGTTTCATCATCTGTTTCAGCTCAGAATTTTAAAATCACATTTCCATTAATATAGGTGAAACGATACAGCAACAAGAAACAGACAGATGTACCTCATGGGCACACCATACCGTTTTTCTCATCTCAAGAAATTCAGTTCAAATTACAGCTTCTCTTTCCATCTTTCTACCTTGAGAATTTTGTTGATTTGATGCTTGAAAGCATGCTGTGCTGGCTGCTTAATTAAATGATCATGAGTGAATGCTAATGTTCAAAGCTTATATCCAGGTTTATTTGAAGGAGGTGCAGGCACTAAAATGCTTTTTATTTATTTCCATTTTCACATTCTGAATGTAATACTTTGGTTATAAATATCATACTAAAATCTGGAAAGTTTTTGCTGCTTTTGTCTGCCTGAAATACACTATTTTGGAAATCAAATTAAATGATTAAAAAGTCAATATGATTTTAATGTTGGAGACAAAATCGAGTCAGTGGTTCATAGTATTTAGCAAAATGGTTTAGTACATTTCTAACTTAAGAAAATATGTCTGAGATTCCTGAAGAGAAAAGCTGGAGAAAATAAACCAACCTTAGATTTAGTTTTATTGTCTTTCCTAACTACAGTGTTTATTCTTAGATACATTTTGTCTCTGACAGATATAGCTTTCAGCAAGAAAAATACATCTATATTAGATGTTAGTTCTATTCTTTCAGTATTATTCTTTAATAAAAGGTATTACTCATTAAACTTTCATTTTCTCTAAGATGTGTCCATAAGTTCAAAGAATGTGAAGCACAAAGTCAGCCTTCATACAGCTAATTAGGTGCATAATTTTTTGAGGGAGAGGCTTGTCTAACAATTGTCAAAGGATACCTTCTATACCTTCTATAAGAATTGAAATCGTTCCTTTGCCCAAAACTGCTTTCACTGCATATTATCACTATTAGGATCACCATTAACTAGGTATTGGCTGGTACCTGTATGAATGTTTTAAAAAGGTCACTACTCTTTCACCTTGCTTGCAAGAAGTACCAAGTTGGCTGTCTCAAAATAAAAATTAATCTGGCTCCCGAAGCAGGCAGCTGAACTGATTATCTATCTAATATTTGCCTGTCGAGCTGATGTTAGGACTTGAATATGAACCCATTTAAGGGAATGGTCAGTGGATTTTTTATGATGCATTACCTCTGGACAGTCTTGATCACCAGTTTCTATCAAGTCTTTTATTGGTTTTGGAGAAATTGCAGTTTTTGTAAAACCACTTTTGTGCAAAATTAATTTTACACTCTGAAGAAAGATTCAATGATTGTTTTAAAATATTGTTAAGACTATTTTATTTCATGAAAAAATATTTTTGTTGCATCATAGAGTTCTGGACTCCTTCAATGTGCCTTTGCTTTGTTGTTTTCCCCTGTCTGAACTGATTTAGTGAAGTCTTTTTTTTTTCTCAGGCAAGAACTGCAACATTTATAACTGCTGCCTTTCTTCTCAGCACAGAGTTTGGATTTCTGCTTGTTTTTGTGTCTAAAAACTTTGCACGGTGGTTGATGAGTATGAAATTGCTCTTGTCAGATGTCAGTCTCAAGCTGTTGTGGTATTGATTTATTGTATTCTTTTCCAGTTGGGTGCAGAGCTTTGGGCATGAGGGCCTTGGACTACTGCTGGACATTTTGGAGAGGTTGCTTTTCAAGAAACAGTAAGTTTATATTCAGTTCATTTTTTTTTCTGTAGTGGGCTATATATCCTCATCTTTATTGTGTCATGTCCACAGGCCGGAGAAGATTGACAAAAAAAACCAACATAAAATTGTCCAGTGTCTCAAAGCCTTCATGAACAATAAGGTATTGTCTATTTTATGTCAATTTTTCCCCCCTTTCCTCTTGAAGCTACAAATAATTTAATAAATTGCTAATACTGCAATGAAATGGTTCAAAGTTAAGGTAATAACATTTTACCAGTGACTATCAAACTCATGAACTTGTTACCATGTTCTCTTGGACTGTAGCCCATTCCACTATGTCAAACTTCAGGCATGGATCCCACTGTTCCACAACTTTAGATGTGTCTGTATGTCATCATAACTCTGTCACATTACTTGGATTAGAGTATTTGAAAGCATGAGACGTTAATTCAGTCATTTGATTCATGTGTGGTGGACTTGTGACATTGCAAAATACCAGCCCTCAAGGGCCAGACTGACATTTTTTCACTAAGTTATCTGTCTACCAAATGCCCATCACAGTAATCAAATTATATTTATGCATGTGTTAGATTAAGAATTTGCATATCTAAAATAATAATGTTCTAAATAGAAAATCTATACAATAAGTGTTTCTTGAGTTATTGAATATGATGTGTGTTTAATGTGCCTGTTTTTGATGAGCAAACTGTGAGAGTAAAGAAACTGAAACTATTACACTTTAAAGTTTTTATTTTTATTTTTTATTTTTATCAAAGCTACATTAATATAATAACTTATGTCTGGTTTTATTACATTTTAGATGAGTGAAACATATTTTGTTACTGGTAGATATTAAATTATTTATTTTATGTGTGTACAAAGTTTACTAATTATTTATATATTATTCATTGTATCAAAACTAATGATTTTTGGTTGAATTGCTTCATTTAAGATCTCAATGAAAGTATAAAAGCTATACAATTGATTTAAAAAAAATAAATATGTCTTAGTTTTAAATTTTTTTTAAAAAGATGCAGAATATAATCCCTTGAGTGTCATATTGAATCAGCCACAGTATTCTATTGTGAACACTATTTTATAAAGCCTGTTTTTCTCTGCTGTTAGTTGATAAGTTACTACATAGAAAAAAAATAATCCTCATATGACGCTAAAAGCCAGAAGAGACAGATAGACAACCCCTCTGGCATAAATTCTGCTGTAGGGTCTCTTGTAATCCTGCGTCTCAACAGGCGCCAGACACCAGCATTTACCCGTAGGCCTTTCTGTAAGCCCAGACCTTTCCTGGGCTGGAGAGGCATCTTGGGACAGCAGGTACCCGCTATGCCAAGAAGACAGGTGTTCTCGACCAGCTGTCGGTTGAACCTGTTTTTTTTTTCTTCTTGCTTCGTCTGTCAATTCCCATTTTTTGCAAATGTTCTGTTTTCCTAAGCAGTTTTATAATAATGTTCTAAAAGTTACATTATAACATTGTGCTTTGAAGAGTCCAACATATTTATTTATTTTTTAAAGCTAGTTTAAGACATTTTTTCACAAATTATAATTTCCTTTCTGTACTATGTATTTAAAATATGGCATATCAAACAGCTTTGACTATTTTGCGCTTTCAGAGCAACAGAAGGATAATTTAGTTTTACAATTCATTTTGGGTCTTGAAAGTCAAGAATTGCAGACAGTTCCTGGATTAAAGGACTAAGTTAATACTAGAGTTGTTGTGGTTCATACATGGTACAGTGATTTGCAGCAACCTACTAGCAAAATGACAAATTAGAATGACTGCTAAATCTGTTTAATTTCTGTGCCATTATTTTTTGTCATTTACTTTTCTTCTAAAGTTACAAAACTCATGTACAGTTTATTGCACAAATACATTACATGGGCAAAAATGTTCCCAGCTGGATGTAACAAAATAAATGGATACAAGCCTTTCATTGGATAATCACTGCATCGGGGGTTATCTTTATGGCAGCAAGTTACTTATCCCCAAGTGATGCGATGAGTAGCCTCTTATTTTTTAATCAAGCATGTTGACACACAACTTTTGTTCGCCTAAAAGATTTTAGTCTGTTTTAGAAGAGTCAGCTTATTGGCATCAAACATGCAGAGGGGACATCTGAGGAGATTGCTGACATTACTAAAACATGGGTTAGGAACTGTCCAATGTATTATTAAAAACCAAAAGAAAGGTGGGGAGCCAATGTCTTCAAGGAAAAAAAAAATCATGGATGACCAGGTTCGACAAACACTTAAACATTTGCTAAAATCAAATGGAGGAAACAACAGAAGAACTCAAAGCTATGCATAATGGAAACATCAAAGGTATTTTCACATGAAGAATGCAAAAGGAAATCAAGAAACTGAGACTTAAAAGTTGTGTAGCTATAAGAAAACCATTAATAAGTGAGGCTAGCAGAAGAAAAAGGCTTTAACTTGCAAAGTAGTAGAAAAATTGGAGTCTGGAGTAGTCAAAGAAGGGCATGCGATCTTATTAGTCCAGATTTACCCTCTTCGAGAATGATGAGCGCATCAGTGATGTGTCTCCCTTCAGTGATGCCGAGTACAAGCATGATCTGGGGTTGATGCAGTTGGTCAGGTCCAGGTCAACCTGACCAATTGCAGGTCAACTGACTACCTGAGTATACAGTACTTCCAGCTTTGACATAAAAACTAGATTTTCTACTAAGGTCTAAATAACTTTAAAAAACACAATGGTGCAAAAGCACTTTACAAATAATGATTTTTCAGTTCAACAGCATTTTCTACTGGCATTTCATTGCCATAATTACTGCATTGAGCCAGACCTTTAATCAGCACTCACATCCTGGATAAAACATTACAGATGGCTAGGATGACTGTTCTCTTTAAATATGGCATTTCGTCTGTCACACATTTTGTCATGCGGGAAAAAAAAAATGGCTTCATGGAAACTATGGAATAATGTTACATCCTTATATTTTCATTTTTATCTTCTAACAATTGAGATAGCACATTGTTCTTTTTGCCTCCTAGCCAGATTGCAATATAACTGAGCAATCTACCGTTTTTGTTGCAGTATGGCTTGGATCGAATTCTGGGGGAGGAGAAAAGCCTTGCCTTACTAGCAAGAGCCATCGACCCCAGCCAGTCTGCCATGATGACCGATGTTGTAAAGCTGTTATCAGCCATCTGCATTGTTGGCGAAGAGAACACGTATGTTGGTTTTATTTTATTCATCAACCAGACTAACTTTTGTTTTGTTTCCCAAAAACATAACACCTATTTCTTAATACAACTGTCCTTTGCCTTAGGTTGTTCCTAAATTAATTAATTAGTTTATAGTCATTTTCTTTTTTGTGATGATAATAAATTAAAAGTAATTTATCTCAAATAAATTTCATGCTCTTCCACAGGTTGGAGAAGGTTCTTGAGGCCATCACAACAGCAGGGGAGTGGCGAGCCATTGAGCGGTTCAGTCCAGTTGTGCAGGGACTGCGAGATCGCTCCATTCAACTTCAAGTGAGTTCAGTGTTCTTTTGTTTTACACTTCTTTATGGTCCAAACTAAGTGAATTACATTGTAATTCACAGATATAGTTAAACTATTGCTGAACAGGAATTGTAGATCTAAATGACCCCATCTCTTAAGATCACAGGAGGGTTAAAACATTCACTTCATAAAGACGTCCCTTAGATTTGACCATATAAGTTGATTCATTTTGACCTCCACAGATATTGTATAACTGACAATATTGCTGAGTAGCAATTACATTTAGTTGTTTTTTTTTTTGTCAAAACTTGTCAAAGACTTGTTCATAATGCTTGAGATGTAGAGCAGGAATGATAAAAGAATTTCTCAGTTTATCCTTGCAACATCATAATGCTTAAAACACATCGTATGCACATAGATATTAAGGACCAGATGTTTCTATTGAGCATAAATGACCAATTTAATCATCAGTTTAGGCACAGATGGGACAGAAATTAGAAGCCGGCCCACAAATTCATCTATGATGTTTGTTATTTGTCAGTCTGTTATTATCATCACCGCAATCATAAATAGTATGTCCTCAATGTTTGTTGAAACTTCACATCATGGCCACAAATTACATCCAGTCAGCAAGTACGTCACAAAGAGTCCATATCAGTGTGAAGCACTTTCCTTTCCATCTGCTCCCTTTGCACACACTTTCTCTGGACTGACGCTCAGATAGATATCAGTTGATTAAAATATAGTTAATGAGTCCAAATTTGATTTTATCTTTTGAAAGTAAACCAGACATAAGATTATAAAGGCAGAAATTGACAAAGTAAACAGCACAAGATATTCTTCTGATTTATGCACAACAACCTACCATCTCCCTGCTGATGGAGACACTTTAAATATTGATTATGAGTTGTTGTAAATAGGACAGCACTGGTTTGTAACAAGAATGTGGAAACACATTTTGTAAATATGATGTTTGAATTTTTAATCAGTAGCTTAGCGATGTAACTTAGGGGAACTGAAAGCATGCATAAACACAAAAACACACTGGGGCTTTTTTTTGTTTTTTGAAAACTTGTTTTATTGTTAAATAATTAGTTCTTGGATACAAATTAATGCCAGCTCATTAAAGTGAAAGATAAATTGCAACATAATTTCTAATTTTAACTATAAACTCAGTCCTAATAGTATTGCACCACTGTTATCTACACTATGGGTGTTGTGGTACAGGTTGGTTTTATGGTACGCTTTTATAATGGAAATAGACAAAATAGCATTCAGCACCAACTTTAGTCGTACTGCTCAGTGGAAATGAGGCATCTCCAGAGTTCTCGGTTGCTTCTTCAGTGTCGTCTTTAACTTACTCTGTAGGTTATCTATAGGACTTAGGACTACGAACTGAGATGCAATATATTTGGAATATATAAAGGAAATGGAAGGAGAAGACATGCAGAAAATGACCAAGGCCTACAGCCTCTACATATGGTGTGTCTTCAAGATGCAGCCTCTGCACATGTTTGTTTTATAGCTGAACCTTTCTGTAGATCCAACTGGAAGAACCAGTGACAACCATTCAACCATTAAAAAGATTGGGTGTTATTTTGTCTTCTTTTTTCTTCAAAAAGGATTGTGTGGTTTTATGCTTGACCAAACGGTGTTTGTTACAGAAAGCCTCAACTTTGCGCTATAAGACAGTGATCAGTAAACTGACTATTGCCTTCCTACATAATTTAGCTTGATTCAGTGCTCAGTCTGGAATTTCTCCCATTAAGCTGGATTTCTCTGTTAAAATTTCAACCGAGCCTATCAACAAAAAGAACGAGGAGTTGTGATGTCTACTTTTTGTGCCAGTTTGCCTATGGTGGTTATTTGGCAATAGCAGAGAAGGAAGTGACTGAAGCTATTCAGTCTTAGAAGAATGTCTCAGAGATTTTATTGGAGGTAAAGATGAAATGGCCCTTACTACCTATGTGGTTGTTTACAGCACACATAATTTCCAGTAAGGTTTATTGAGCTGGTGCATTACACGCCCCCAGCAAGCAATCATTCCTCAATAGCAAAAGTCCCGACCCGCTATACGAAGCAAAGCATAGGTCTAGGGGCTGATTTTTATCAGGCTAAGTAAGTACAGTTCCAGTTACATTTCTAGCAATAGTAAAAAAAAAAAATAAATAAATACTACATATTTGCATTTGTGTGGTAGGACACAAAATGTTTATTCTTAGTATACCTCCCAAACAACAAGGTTGTCTTATAATATTTCTTATAATTAATTGGTGACCCAAAGATGCAACTTGTTTACACAGTTCCCCTACAGTGATGTGTGGAAATTATTTTGATCCTACCTTACCATTGTTTTCATTGCAAGACTGCGCTACTGCTGTAAACGTTCAATATGTTTTTAAGGATTGTTGGACATGTTTGAATGTTGCCAATAACTGGAAGGTTTTGCACATTGCAACCTTGTGTCAGACATTAGAAAGCTCCTCACACATTTTCTTTATTGGCCTTTCACTTATACTCTCTCATATTGAACCCCTTATAAAATATCTATAGCTCTGTATCTGGAGGGCTATTCCTCCACACCTGGATACCACTGAATTATATGGGCTTTTGGGGGTCCAGTTGCATTTGAACTATCGCAGGGAATGATATAAAGAAAACCTCTCAAGGTATCAATACTTCTAAAGCTATGTTAGATAAGACAATTATTTTGTAATCTTACTTTTAGCACAATATTAAACTCTTCTTACTCTCTTAAGATAAATGCCCTCAAAACTAAGTAACAATCAAGCTGACACTGATCCTTAAGCCCCTCAATGTATAGTAATGCTATACTCTCTTTTCACACATGAGTGAATTTCTTCTTGTGGTCAATAATTGATTTTTCTGTTTGTGTTTTGCTTGCCAGCTGGTGTTGCAGTCACTGTTTAGTAAACCAAACTCGGAGGGAATTCAGAAATTCTGTCCTAAATAGCCCATTTGCCCTTATATTGACTGCTAGTTAATTTCAGTCTATGGGTCTACAGTTGTTACATTAATATTAAAACCACCACCCCACTGGGTGACTGGAAAAAATAGACATGCATTAGTTATGGTCTTCTGCTTCCAAGGGACATGGCTCATTTCAAATGCATGCCAGCGTGCTTTTTATCAACTGCTCATAGAAGAAATTTGTCATCTCATTCTTTGGTTCTCTCTCCCACTTTTCACTCTCTCTCTGTCTTTGTACCTTTGTTGTTTGTTGCAGGTGGCATGCATGCAGCTCATCAATGCCCTAGTAACATCTCCTGATGAGCTGGACTTCAGGCTTCATATTAGAAATGAGTTTATGCGTTGTGGCCTCAAAGAGATATTGCCGGTAAGTAAAACATGACCCAGAACACGTACACACATACAGACACTATAAACTCTCACCTTGTATTAATATTTAAATGAGGTATCCACTTCTGTGAAATATTGTTGATTTGCTCCGGCAAATAATTTATTAAACATCGAGGAGAGTTTGTACGTCCTCAGTATGTGCAGAAACCAATAAAGTGTCTAGTGTCTCAGCTAATAATCTTTCTGCTGGATTTACGCGATATACCAAACATGTTTATCTCTTGTAAACGATTGTTCTGCTGCTTCCATGGAAGAAAATGAATTAAAGTGAAAAGTTAGAAATAAAACTTCCATATTAGTTTGAACAATGGTGCTTATTGTCTTTATAGAGTTTACATTTTTGCTTTTAATATAAATACAAAAATTCTTTTTTTTTTTTTTTTTAATCAAATTTATTTCATATGCAAAGTTTTTTTCTTCCTTATGTCTGTTTCATTTATTAATTTATTCTTTAGCAACTAATGACCATCAGGAGTGAGGCTCTGGACATTCAGCTGAAGGTTTTTGAAGAGCATAAGGAAGAGGACATGATGGAATTCTCTCATAGATTGGAAGACATCAGGAGTGAAATAGAATATCCTTGTTGAAACTGAACAGAAAACATGCAACTCATATTTGATTTCATGTCTGCTTGTGTTAATTTGATGAATTCCAAGCTAACCTATCTGGAGGAAGAGATCAAATTTGCTGAGCCAAAACAATAATCCAGAATTTTTTTATTATTTTTTTTCTTATTTCATCTGTTTCTCCAGTTTTTTCATGTGAATATGCACTGTTTTCATTAATCTACAAGTCCTTGACTCTCTGTACTGATGCGGGAGATGTATTCAGTATTGTGTTGAGCATGGTGAAGGACAGCAGTGCAGAGCCCTATTTCCTCTCCATCCTGCAGCACCTGATGCTCATTCGCAATGATCACTTGATCAGGTAAAAACTACATCAACCACTGACATTCAGTCTGAATTCGATATTTTTTGTTTTGTTTCTATCACTTTCAACTTTCTCATATCCTTACGTTTTAGTGATTAAAAAATAAATTTGCTATAAAAATCCTAACTCTTCATTCAATAAGGAATTTTATGTATTTATACAATTTGATTGTTATGAAGGGTAATATAGATTTGGAGTATTTTCTTCTCATTTTACCCGGCATCAAATGAAAGCAATGATTTGAGTAGATTTGAGCGCCGTTAATATTGCATCCTGGTTAAAAGATCTGGTTTTGTGGGGGTCCAACTCCCTCTGTCTTGAGCTCTCTCGATGACTTTGGCTAACAAAGAGAATGCTTTCTCTTTCATCTCCAAGCCATCTACAGCAGCAAGGGCTCTGGTGCATTTCTCATCTCTTATTAGAGGAAAAATTTCAAAGGCTTATTTTATGTTGGTCCACTAAAGGCTGGGTTTGACTTGAACCTTAGGCTGATCAAAAGGTGGAGCTTTTGTTCTCAGAGGTATAAAATGTATTACCTGCCATTTTCCACACCCAGACATTATACATTTGCGGTCTTTTCCTCTGTCGGGATAAATTTTTCAGCTAAAACCCAAGCAAAGGACACAGCATATATATTCATGCCTCTCACTGTACTTTGTTGCAGCTGATAAATAATTGAACAGTTTAGATGCTTCTCCCAGCTAGGCTGGACAATTTTGATAAAATTGCTGAACAAATAAGTAATTACAGCTATCAAATAAAATTTACATTGTTTACTAATCCACGTGGTCAACATAAAAGTATCCACTTAGTCACACTGATTTTACATTAATTTCACAAAATTATCAAAACATGCTTTTTCAATTTTATTTTTGAATGCTGATTTAAAATGAGCTACTATTAACTCACCTTTTGCTCATTCTTCTCTTGTGTGCTATCAGCTATCATTGACAAAGGGATCTGATGTGGTGTGAAACTCTAATTTATACTAAATACCTTTTATTGTTCTTGGCCTGAGAACAAGACATTATGTGTCTTGGAAAACTAATTAGGTTTTAACAATACTATCATTTTTCTTTTGTTTGGAAAGGTCCGAAACTTTTTTCTACAATTACCTTTTTCCACATATTTTTATTCTCTTTTGCTGTTCATCGGAACATCGCATTAACTTGCAGTAATGTCATTGCATAACATTATTGCATGCTTTACTCTGAGCCTGACTTAGCTGTGTAATTTCAACAAAGCATTTTGTGAAAGATGTAGTTAGTAATGTACTAACTTTTTGCATAAAACATACAAACTATTTAATTTTATCTAAATTTTAGGAAGCCAATCGGGTTGTTAGATTATTTGTGGACCATACACATAGTAGAATACAATTCAGCAATTGTTTTTGCACAAGTGTAAGGAAGTGATTGAAAATACACGGACGCAATAAGCAATGTTAGCTTTTAGTAAATTTATCTTTAAGTTTATGTAGGTCATAAATGAAAATAATTTTAATTGTGGAGCAATCTTTAAAAGTCTGAAATATAACTTTCTTTAACATGTATGACCAAGAGTTCTGGTCATACATGTTTAAATGGCATATATATATATATATATATATATATATATATATATATATATATATATATATATATATATATATATATATATATATATATATATATATATATATTATATATATATATATATATACACATATATGTATATATATATATGTATATATATATATATGTTTCTTGTATTCCCAGAAGCTTAGGTTCTTGAATATATTAGCTAATCTTAGGTCTTAGGATTGGTAAAGCAAAGTAAAACCTCAAAGATTAATTTGCTCAGACTATGCTGAAAGTCTGTGTTTAAAATCAAGAATTTGTGTTTTGGTGTAATACTGGGAATAATGTCAACAACAGAAGAGGACAGTAGTGCTAGTCCTGCCCATGACACATACTAGCTGTGTCATGTTTTTTGGTGTTGCTGTGGCATCCAGTGAGCTGTTTTGTTCAGTGGTGAGGTTGACATTTCAGGTGGAGATGGCATACAAATGACTTATCAGGGGAGTCAAAAGATTGAGAAGTCTGGATCACAGCATGTTATTTCATCTGGAAGATGTGATGACTGTAAAGATATAATATTTTATGCCATGCATAACCTAAAAGTTCAACCAGATTTAACACACTTTTTTTTATAACTTAGAAACAGCCAAATAGAATCATTTAAAAGACTGTTTCTTGCAATATTCAAAGATCTTGCTTACCTTAAAAACTGAAGTAATTGAATAAAAGACCTCCAGTAGTACTATGAATAAAGTGGGATTATTATTATTTTTTTCTTTTGCATTCAGGCTGAATTCCCTTGATATAGTGGATCACACTCTTCAGTTCTTCAGTTTCATCTCCAATCTTAGTTTTGTTTTAGAAATGGGTTAAAACCAATATCTCATGCTGCTCACTATTTATAAGTATCTCAATGTTTATTAATGATTTGGTGTAGAGGAGATTAGGACTCTCTGTGGCATTGTTGTAAGATAATAAGCAGATCAAACAGTTTCTCACCCACTTGAATTTGCTCAATCTCCCCCTGGGCTGCATGTCAGCTGCGGTTTAATAAAATATTTCCTAATGCAAATTAGTGCTTGGCCTTGGTTATTTGTGGGGGTCATTTGATATGATTTTTGTGCTTCGTAGTTTCTGATGGGTTATCATGTATTTCCCAGGTTTCATTTTTATTAAAACATTATTATGGTTATATATATTAATATATATGTGTATATGTAGACATAAATACACTTTTTTAATGAAAAATGTTAGTTTGTTTTTCTTTTGTTGTTGGCTCACCAGCCAAAAGAAAAAAAAAATCTGAAGCTTTATAATGAAAAATAATATTTCTTGAAATGTGTTTTTAAGCCAATACTGTGGTGTTAGACTTCACAATTTTACCAACTGAACCAACCTGTAGTTAAGTTCATTGTGCTCTTTTTTTTTATCTCCCTTGATTTTCTTTCTCATCTTGACTTTCAGGCCCCAATACTTTAAAATCATTGATGAATGCATTTCTCAAATTGTGCTGCATCGCAGTGGCACTGACCCCGACTTCAGTTACCGCAAGCGCCTAGATGTGGACTTCAGCCACCTTTTGGGCAAGTTTAACACCTTTGGTAGTGCATCACCATGAGAACTGTTCTGCAAAGAAGTTTGACTGAATTGAACTATTATTTTCTTTGAAGATGTGTGTGTGGACAAAGCTCGTGTTGATGAGTATGAACAACGAGCCTTAGAACTGGCACAGAAGGCAAGTATAACAAAAAAATATAACATAGCAAATTATCAACTTGAAATTGGTTTGTAGTAGTAGATTTGCGTGAAGTTTTAGTTTCAGCTGTGTGCATCTCTTACATATATTCTGACTGACACTTGAAGACCACATGTTTTTAATTGACTTTCTTTGTTGCAAGCTGTGTCAAAGTATGTGTGATGAGAATGTTTACCACCACATGCATTTGTTAAATAATGGTTAATCATAATGTAATTTGTCAAAATTTTAGTAAAAAGTTTAAGTACTTTAAAGAATTGTCTTTTTTAAAGAATTGAGAATCTGATTGGTTTGTTGCATTGATTCTGTTTTAAAGGTTTTTAACGGTTGATCTGTGTTCTTCATTTTAGTTTGATGAAGAGTTTCTCAGCAGACAAGAGGCACAAGCTCAGCTGGCTAAGTGCGAAGAACAAATCGCTGAACTCCAAGCAGAGTTACAGGCCTTCAGGTCCCAGGTATACAGAGTGGACAGAGTGTTGCATATCACAATCTTTGTTATTGCAGGATGTAAGGTGTTTGAGGATACTGGTTGTAATCGCAGTTCAAACCTTGTGATTTTAGATAAGAGATACAATTCAACTTTCTTTTTATTATGAGATGTCCTTGTTATTTTTGGGCTGTGCTGTGGGGATGGTGGTGGGGGTTTGTCCACTGGAGCCTGCAGTTTGGTTTGACATGGAGGCTGCTCTACTGGCGAGCTGACACCAAGTCTAATGAGAACACTGACCGGTCCTCCATGTTGGCCATTTCTAATTCTCCGATCTCTATCCCATAAGAGGAAATTGTTCTAAAAGCAATTTATTCTGACAACCCCTTCAGCCTCAACCACCTACTCCTCCCCCTCCCAATTACTCCAGAGAGTTACTCCCACACCATGGCACTGCAAGATAACTACACACTCAGAGAACGGAAGAGAACTTCCCTTTTTTCCTTGATAATTTTTCAATTTGAGAGCGCAAACACTGAGTGAATACTCAAATAATACTTTGGTTTAGATGGTGATGGTATGTTTAGTCAGTGGTTACACACACACACACATGCACACTTTGTTCCTTTGAATGTGTCCGTCCACATCTTGACCTCCTCCAACACTCTAGAACGAGAGGCTTTCCCTTTGCTGCAGAGGCGTTGGCAGAGAGAGGGCCCTAGGTTGACCTTTAGAGTGCATCTTTAATATAAAAATGGCACCGTACACGGATCAATAATCCATTTGCTCTCTGCAATACAATTTACAAAGCTTGTAGGTGCTGTAATAACATTAGAATTTTTACTTTGGGGAAATAAAAAACATTGTAGTTATATTCCGAACAGAATCAGGACTGTTTAATAGGATTTTGCTTAACATAACCCACCTTTGCCACAGTGGTTATGAGAATATTGGTTATGAGACAGCAAATAAGAACATGCTCTCCACACTCAACATATTCTGTGGCTTGTCTGCTTTCATTTCCCCCCTCTCATTTTATTTTGAGTGACGTGAATTCCCTGTTGTTTGCAGCGTTTAACACGGTGTAAAAAAAAACAAAAATGTGAAATTCAGCAAAGTTTTGACCTTCTTCAATGTACTAGGGTGTGGGGAACAGTATGCTTTTTGACTTTTTTCTTTTCTCGACATTCACATATGTAGACTACACATTTTTAAAGCAATACATGAATGAACATCTAAAGATTTTTTTCCAGAATAAAGTTAGGAAAACAGTTTGGCTTTCACAAACACCCAAACTTGTAATATGCAACATGACCTCTACTAGTGATGCTGTACAAAAACATGACACACCCATCAGTTATTTGTAGATTTTGATTTTGAACTTGAAACTGCAGACTTTTGATTTCAGTGAAAAAGATTTTTTGTTTATATTTCTTTACATATATGAATGTTTTAACATTTCTGTTGATTTTGTGCCCAGTTTGGATCAGTGCCTGCCGGTCTGACATCCGCTAAGGCTGGAATATCATCACCATCGCCTGCATTTGCATCTGTACCACCAAGCTCTGGATCTGAATCAGGGGTGCCGTGTCCCCCTCCGCCTCCACCACCTCCTCCTCCACCTCCTCCTCCACCTGGAATGCCTCCTCCACCTGGAATGCCTCCTCCGTTTGGAGTCCCACCTCCACCTCCTCCAGCCTTTCCAGCCTGTTTTGGTTCCCCAACTCACCACACGCTGCCTTTTGGCCTCAAGGCAAAGAAGGAATTCAAACCTGAGAGTTCAATGAAGCGCCTCAACTGGTCGAAGGTTAGAATTTGCTTTATCCTTACACATCCTACTGGACTTTGGTGTACAAAACTTTTGAAGACAAAACAGAAAATCCAGGCCACACATTATAAAAAATGACTTACTGTAATCTACTTAGTTCATGCCGTTTTTGGCAGCGTCCAAACAGTACAGATGTTTTCCAAAAAAGAAACATCTTTTTTTCTTCCGTGCCAAGCCAGACTTTACTGAAAATAACAGATGATCAGATGTCACAGCGGCCTTCTTGGTACCCCTACAGATGTTCTTTCTCTTTTGAGCAATATTAGTTGATACCACAAGTGGTGTTGGTTTGGATATTAATTCATAATTTACACTCACATTTGCACCACTACAGGTGTTCAACAAACTAAAACATCTGCTCAAAATTTCAAGTCACTCTTTTCAAAGTAAGAGAATTGAATGATGTGATCGAACTATTGGAGAGCTCAGCATATGGCTGAGTTTGGGACAAAGATCTTTTGAAAGTTTTTCAATAAGCTTTCAAACTACCATCAACAAAAACACAGCTCACTCACTGCAATTATTTTTCATAACGGCAGAAAAGTGTAATTCCAGTGTTTACACTTAAACTTAAAAAAAATATTTTTAAGTTTCCCATAACTATAGAAGTTTGCATTTATCCCACATTGGATTTAGAAAAAAATATTTTAATGTAATTTGCTGTTTTAGACTATTGCATTACATTACAACAATACACCATCTGGCCATAGCATTGTATTCTCATGTTTACTGTTAAGAAGTTTCTTAAAATGTGACTAGTCTGATTATTATTACTTTTCCTTTTGCCTTTCTTTTATGGATACATCTTGTCAACTAGAAATTTTCTTTCATCACACCTTCCTGAAACATTTATAAATTTTGTCTTGGCACATTTTGCTCTGTCAGCATTCATTCCTCTCATACTGAACCTTATCTTGGCTGTAGACAAAGGTATCTTGATTTCAACTAAGTGTTTTCAAAAGAGTTTCTTTAATCAGTCTTTTTTTCTTCTGTCAAACACAGTGCATTATCGTTCAAATTCTGTGGACTGTCTCAGGAAAAAAAGGTTTCACTTAGGAACCCCGCTGCAAAGTCCTGTCTGTATTTTGGCCTAATTTAGACGAGTTATAAAGCATTATTTAGAAGAGTGACTACTTCTGCAAGTGATTGCTCTCCTGAAGTGGCTCTATCATGCGTTCTATGTGTCCTGATTGCAGTTGCAACTTTATTTTCACTGTTGATCAGGATGTTGCCATCTTTGCTAGGAGTCTGTCTCTTTTGGTTCTATTTATGTTTTTTTTATGTTTTTTTTATCTTGTGGAGTGCAACAATCTTGGATAATTGCACAGTGAAGGAGAATGATACTTTGGGGTTCTGAGGTCATTCTACAGGAATGCTTGCATGATTATTCAAATTTAAAATGATAGGTGTTCTTGATATTGCTTCAGTGAATGCACCTTTCCAACTTATTTGTGATTCTAGTGGATTCACTCCTGCCTGCTGCATTGAGCATGTGTTATTTTACTCTATTTTGATTGAGGTCTTCTAAAATTCTAAAAAATAAATGGAAAAAATACTGGGAATTCCCACTTAAAATAATGCCTTTCTAAAAAAAATCAAATGCATTATTTTAAATCAATTGCTAAGTGATTTTAGACTTTTTGATTTAGAACTTTTAGAACAGGGACTTCATAGGTTTTGTCGGTATATTTACAAACATATCCTTATTTCTGAGTTGAAATAAGTCTGCATCCATAGCCTACAATAGCAAGTTTTTGATTAATACAAGTTTGCTGAGGGCAGATTACAATCCATTTTAATATTTAATTTATTATGTTTGTGTCATTATACCTTTTAATACAGCTTTTCTGTTAGTATGGTTTCTGATTATGATCATGCATCAGGAGTACTGGTGAATTTTATTCTGATGTAAAGTTGTGTTTTCAGATTCGTCCACAGGAAATGTCAGAAGGTTGTTTCTGGGTGATGGCTGATGAGGACAAGTATGCCAAACCAGAACTCCTCAACAGAGTTGCTCTTACTTTTGGCTCACAGAGAACAGGTCAGATGCTTTTAAGTTTTTTTTATATATATATATATATATACATATTCACTTTCCATCTATATTGCTTGTGTATTCTTTGAAGGCTCAATTTGTCATTATCTAAGAATATCTTTGCATTTTTCATGTGTTTTTGATGGGTGTTAATAACTGGTCTATTCATCTGCGCAGGATCAGTGAAACTTTTTCATAAAAGTTGCAGCTGTTTCAAGTTAAGGAGATACTCTGGAGCTTACTAAATGACTTTCAGTACAGATTTCTCTGCTTCACAAAACACCACACAGTTACATCCTTGAACATTAGTATGTCTAGTAAGACCTGCAATATTCATGTATGAGATTGTTGGAGTGATTAAAGCCAGAGCAGGAGGTAGCTAGAGATTTTATCACTTTTGTCCTCCCCTGTGTTTGGTCTATTAGTCCTGTCACTGATGATTTATTCACGTCTTGTGTTTTCTTTCTTGTCAGTGCCTGGCTCGCTTATGCCAACTTGAATTATTCATCCAGGTGTTATCTACCTGTCACAACTCTATGCTGCTGCTCTCAAGGTGCCTAAGACCCAACAACACACAGCTGCAGTGTAGTTTCTGACCGTCAAGGTGTTGAATAAAACAGCTTGAACTAAATGATAAACAGACATACAGGTATCTTCTTGGGAGGTCAAAAGAGAGATATCCACAGGGAAAAAGTTTCACCTTACAAGAGACACTTTCAATCCTTGTTCCGCATGTGTTCTGCATGCCTCAGTGCTTATAACATAAGCATGTACTAGTGAAATGAGGACTTAAAGTTGAACCACCATTGTTGCATGTCTGTTGCCAGAGAGCTCAAAATAGCCTCTCAAGATAATCATAATAACATATAAACTATAATCATGTTTCCAAATCCCAACTGACTAATTTGCTAAGTATGTTTTCCACTGTTGGGTCTATGAGAGTGTCAATAAATATCAGTCGATATGAAAATGTGGTTAAACAGAGTTGTTTTCAGTTTAGGGGTGAAATTGCACTGTATAATGCAACTGGTGTTCTGAAGCAGCCTATTCAATAATATGTAGCGATTTAAGTTTTATTGGAGAGCGTTTATGGGGAATGGACTGTAAAAAACACAGCAAAATACAGTGATCAACTATTTAAGCTCATATTGGCATTTCCTTGCTAAAACAGATTGCAGTCTGTAAGTTGTTTCAAAAAGAATGTGATTTTAACCAAGTGTACATTAAGACTTGAAGAAAGTTTCATATTAATGACAGCTATGAAGTAATGTTGATAGAATAAAAATCTGCTCTTTTTTAATCTCTGGCATTTGACTGTCTTAGCTGTGGTGGAATTGCGCCTTTTAAGATGGGATGGTTGTCTTTAGTTGAAGGAGGGTTTTACTGGTAGAAGCTATACATAATGCTCTATTCAAGATGAAATCGTAGAAATATCTTGTATATCTTTTCTAATAGAATTCTTTAGATTATGCTATCTCAAAACTCAAGTAATTCTGTAAAACTTAAACTAATGAACCTAACAAGGGCTCTTCATAATTTTTAACCACACAATGATTCACAGAGAAAACAATTTCACAGATTTAAATGTCTTCATTTTCAAAGTAACAAAGTCTTTTGAACCCACAAACTTTTCCAACTTTAGTTAAAGCACATAAACCCACCCTTGGTCTGTTGTATTTTTAACAACTATTGGCAGTAAATTTTTAATTTAGTTGCATTTAAATAAAAAGAAAAAAAAACACAAATAAAAACTCTACACTTATTTTAAATGATCTGTTTTTCTTCATTTTTATTTTTTGTTCAGCAAATGTTTTTTGCCGAGCCCCACTTCAGGTTGAAGGAGATATGACTATTGTGTCATGCTGTCAAATCCAGTTGCTTCATCCCTTATGAGTCAGTTATTGAACTCTCATGCATATGTGCTTGTGGGCTTGTAGAGTTATTAAAAATAGCCTTGTAGCATCATGTTTCATCTCACTTAAGAGCAGTAGCATCTGGGTGAATATTAAACATTAAAAAGGAAACAGCATTAACACAGTTTTTGTCATTAACAATTCATTTTTTGGCTTTGCAAACTTCTTTGTTCTTTTGTTTCTTGCTTCTGCTTTCTGAGTGAGTTCTTGCCAAACTGTAAATAAAATGGTGGGTTTACTTTGTTCCTGGGGAATGTTGGCGAGACCATCCCCTCTCTGTGGAAGCAGCACGCCTGTACTTTATTAACTATGATCAGAAAATATACGACAATGATATATGATTGATGCATTACTTGAAAAGAATACTAGAGTGCTCCAGGTTTAAGGATGACCTAGTTGTGGATTTGATGAAAAAAAATGTTTATTTTAGTTGTTGGAGACATGAGAGTTGATTCTTGACTTGGGGCGAAAGACTTGAGATTTGACTTTGATAAAAGAACTTGTAAACAGATCTGAGTCATACTGCTTCTCTAATACAGGACTCAAGATTAAAAAGACAAATGGTCTTGTCATTCAGTTTGTCTGAAACAAATGACCTTGGTCTAACATCAGGCTACAATGGACTTTTGGACTTGTCTCCTGTAATGAATCAATCCTATTAGTAAAATTCATGCTTTACCTATTAGCTAGAAATAGTTAATGATTGACTGTTTTTTCTGTTTTTTTATAGTAATAATGGTATACTGCTTTTACCATCCAGTCAAATCCAGGAACAAATCCAGTCAAACACTTTCACTGTCGCTGCAGTTAACTACATCTCGGGCTGCACAATATATTATACTTACAGCATATAATCATTGCTATATTAGTGTTTGCAGTAACAACATTAAGCACGTTCACTTTTTGGAGTGCAGAATTTGTAAATTGTTACATATTCCATGTGTCTAGATGTCATGCTTTGCCTGCTGATATTATATTTGGCCTGTTGGCTCAAGTTCCCTGCAGCATGTGCATAAAACCTGACACAGGTGATGGTGTGCAGAGATGGTTGGAGGCATTGTAATAACACAGGACAAAGAAGGGAGGAAAATGCACCAAAAGGAATGATAACACTGTCTAAGGAACAGAAAGAAGCCTTGCACAAAGGCCATGGTGTATGCATTTTTAAAGACTTGCTAGCCAACTTTCCATGCCTCAGGCCTGACAAGATGACCAATTTGGTGGACTGCAGCAAAACAATGCAGCCAAAGCCTAGACAGTTGGACCCTGTGTTGAGATACTAAAAACACAAGGTGTCAAAGAAACTCAAGCATCATCCTTCCAATCACATGTGTTTGTCCACAGGGTGATGGCCAAAAAGAGGAACACTAGAGCAATCATGGGTAAAAAAAAATAAAATAAAATAAAAAAGAGTAGGTTATTTTTTTTTTCAGTATGACTGCAGCCCTGTAACAAAGCCAAGAAAGTTTAAAATCACACCATATAAATCCCTAAATAGAACAGCATTTTTATTAAAATTAGCATTCTCATAAAAATGCACCACAAAACAGAAAGATAATTGTTTCTGCATTTGTGACTTTAGTCGAAGATTCATTGACAATTATTTTAGAGGACAAAGCTTTCCTGCATATTGCACTAATATTACTGCTAAGCTTCCTGGCATTTTATAATCTGGTGACTTTTCAATACATTATAGGTCTTGACATGAGCTACATGACATTCAAGGTTTTCTAATATAAAGCAAAGCGTAGGAACCGTGTTCATAGTTTGCTTGCTAGGAGGCAGCTTGTTTTTTTTTGTAATTTTTTAAAAAGTGATCATAAGGCATAGTTCTCCTGAGAGAGTGAGACAGGGAGAGGGTTCGCCGCAAAGCAGAATACAAATTTGAGAATGCATTTTTTGTAGAAAACCTAGTGCTTGTCCTTCATGTGGTCTTCTCCAGTGAACTAAACAGCTTTGAGGTGAGAAGCTACAGAACTTCAGACATGTCCCTCCTGATTCTGGTAGCTCCCTTTAATTTCTTAACCAGACGGTTCAAGTCGAGCAGCTCATGTTCCTGCTTCTCTACATTTGTTGCTTTAGTGTTACAAAGGACTATCTACCATGAGACCTCAAAGCAGCAGCAGTGTCTTGTTGAGCATTCCGAGGTGCATGCAACCTTTTGATGCATTTGACTGGCAGTCAAACTACGTTTTCTCGTATGAAGAACTGTTTACTGCTTTCTAGGCTCTTTATTCACATTTTTAGAGGCTCATCAAAGTGGACAGTGCTGGATTTTAAAGTCAGTTTAATATCTTTAACTAGTAAAGATGACTTTACTGCACTCTACAACATCAAACATTGGCCAAACATGATACAAAAGTGTATCTCATGTTTGGCCACATCAGCAGTCTTCTGCACCCTAAAGCAATTCATATCTAGTACTCATTTAAAATTATCTATCTGTGATCTAGGCCAGTGTGCTGTTTGACTACCATAAATGTGGGTGTACATATGTGTGTGTGTGTGTGTGTGTACAGTATAGTTGGGGTGCTGTTTGTAGAAAGAATGTGCAAAGCTTACATTTTTTTGAATTGCAATTCTTTCATCAGCATCTCAAATGGATGCTCTGAACCTGACAGTAACAAGTTGCAGATAAAACGATACACAATGGATTCATTTTATTAAGCTGAATAGCAGCTAGCAGTTTGTTTTCACTGACCTGCTGTGTTGTGCTGACTCCCAAAGCCCATGCAAAAATTAAATTAAATTATATTAATTGCTGAAAAAAAAAAGCAAATTAGATTGTGCTGGACCCCAATTTCCATCAGATATGGCATGCTCTTATCACTTTTGCTGTACAAGTTTAATATGTTGTCACCTTTGAATAAATAGACAATGGAGGACATAACCTAGGTTGTATGACTATGTGAATAGCCGTCAGCAAGGAGAGGGTAAACATGTTGCTTTTGGGTGTTGTAAGGATTCAATTACCTGTTTTTATGAGGTACCGTTGCTGGTGTGAAGAAGAATAAAATGCATCCACACACTGATGATGATGATGTGAGAAGAGCGAGCTCGTCGTAACCTTGGAGTAAACAAATCAACAAATGT